CCTCAACCGAACCAGTGGCAATCAGTATATCATCTATATATATTAGAACTTTATTAGCACGTATCAATGGATCAAAAATTTGCAGTACGCGCTTTTGGAACTCAGCTGGTGTTTCCGAGTAGCCGAAGGGCATTTTTACAAATTCATATTGCCCAGCAGGAGTGGCGAAAGCAAAATATTTAGTGTGATCTGGATGTATAGAAATTTGGTGAAAACCATCTCTCAAATCTAATTTTGTAAAAATACATTTGCTGTGCAATTTATCTAATTGATCCTCGATCACTGGAAAAGGATATTTTTGTGGAAATATCCGTTGGTTTAAAGGTCTAAGATCGATACACATCTTACTCTTGCCATTCCTTCCAGTAACTAGCACCACTCTCGAGCAATAAGGTGAAATGCTTGGCTTGACTGTTCCTCTTTGCAATAGGTCGTCTGTTATTTTTTGTAATTCCAGTTTCTCCGAAACCGACATTCGCCTTGGCGCAAATCTAAAAAATGAATTATCCTTAAGATAGACCTTGACACTGTAATCATCATTTATTGGTTCAACCTGAGTTGCATCTACTGTCTTGAGCGTATTTAGCAAATCACTTCGCTCTTGATGGCTCAAGTTTTCGTCAAGATTCTCCCAGAGATTATCGTACTTTTCTTTAGTCTCCTCCACGTTTATGGCTAGAATGCTCTGTGCCCATTGCTCATAGGTTTCTGTATTTTCAAAATGAAATACGCCATTAAAATCGGTTAACTTTATTTTATTTACATCAAGAAATTCTCGACCAATGATAAAATCGTAGCCCATAGTCAAATCCTCGACCACCAAGAAAATAATGTCAAACCAAGTATCTCTTATTGCCTCTAATACAATTTGATCGTGTATTTTACCGTAAATCTGTACCGGAGAGTCGTTTAACCCTTTATATCTTAAATTATTTTTAACTTTGAACAATGTTCTATCACAAAATAAATTTTCATATACCGTTTTTTTAATTAGATTAATTGGACTTCCGGTGTCCATTAAACCCCGTATAACAGTATCTGGTTTAGTACATCTGCGGAAACTGACACTATACTTCGCTGAATTGTCTGGGCGTATTTGTATGATTTGATGCTCGGCATCTTCTGATGACATAGCTAAAGATGAGTTACTCGCCATCGGATGATCCTCTACGCTGTTCACGGTAAGGCTCGGTTTACCCTCCTTCCTCGGACAGTTCAGACTGATGTGCCCCGTTTGACCACACTTGAAGCACGTCGTCTTTGCTACCTTGCAGTCTTTTGACAGATGCCTTGGTTGTTTGCAGGTAAAGCAGGTTTTCTCATCTGCGCCTTTGCCGCTTGTAGCGCCTGGTTTCTTTCCCGAAGATTTTAATGATGGGTCGTACTTTCTAGATAGCACATCGTCTTCGGTCAATCAACGTACATATTCGATAAAGTCGGGAACGTTATTAATTTGCGTAGCCAACACGTGTCTTCTTACGGCATAGTCTTTTACCCCGTCTGCCAACAGCTCGATTTTGTCCTTTTCCTTGAGATTCAGGAACTGCATGAGATTAAGTTTAGCCTCAGCATACTCGACGAATCACTCCGAATGTGATTTCCAGATGCGTGCATTTATTCGCGACAGAGTTGCGGTATACGATTCCTTTCTCTCAAAGTACTTCCTCATTTGGAACTTGAGATCCTCCCACGTTGCCACTGAGTCCAATGGCTGTCGATGGTACCACTCTAAGGCTCGTTCTTTAAGTTGACTTATCGATGCCAGCAAAAGCACATGGTCGGTAAATTGATGTAGACGACCGACATTTGTCACTCGCTCAAACTATCGAACAACATTTTCATCGTCTTTTCCGGCAAAAACAGGAATCAGTTTCTCTGCCCCCTTGACTTGGCGCCAATCACTAGCACTATTCGCCGTTGATTCGTTTGACCGTGATTGCATTCCGTTCGAGTTCATCCGGGATACCGGCGGGGCGTTCTCCGGCAAAGTCCTTCTTTCCTGGAGCACTTGTACAACTGCCTGTACGATTTCCTGCATATTAAAGCCTCCAACGGCACCGGCCGCTGAATTCGTTTCCTCTTGGCCTCTGAATATATGTTGACCCGACTCGTTTCTGACTTGGATTACTGGGTTTGGTGTATCCAATAAATGCTTGCCATCTCGGTGTTCCGCTTGTCCGTTCCCGTCTGGGCCATCATTCGCCTCGCCACTTGTACTCGCCATGTCCAACGTATCCAGGACGTTCCACCCGTTTATTTCAAAATAGTCAAGTACTCGTTCGAAGATTTGATTTCAAGAGCCTTTGATATCTATTTTGAGTTTAGATCCCAGGGAACGCAAAGCATTTATGGTGGCGCTGTCTAGTTTTTCTCTGTTCATTCTAATCCATTAGCCGTTTCCACGGGTAAGTCGACATCGATTATCGACCCTTCGATCAGAGTCAATACCGACTGTCGCTTTCCGGCTCGATAGATGTATTGCCGATCTTCGTTTTCTAAGCCAGTCACGTTGATAACGGTAACCAATCCGCGCGTCGCTCTCAAAAGTTTTCTGTTTCACTCACGAACCACGAGAGAAGACGTATAACCGCCAGACAAACAAAGTCACATTCTCCCCTAGCACTCAGCATGTGTCTCAGTCAATGTCGGTTTCTTCGTTTCACGCACGTAACACGCCCTCGTCACGCGCTGCGTCCTTGCTCATGTTATACCGGCCCGCGTACACTATTACGTGCACAGGTCGTGCCGTTTCACCTAAAGGATATCACTCGGAACTTCGGGGGAATATATCCCACTTCTGAAATTTTAATCTGTAAGAGTTTAAACTTCACCCTTCTCCCTCCACGTCCGTAGTCTGGGGTTTCTTTTCTTTTTTCTAGGGAGGATTAATTAGGAAGGGCTAAAGCGATTGGACGTACGACACTTCTCGTTATCAGGATGACTATATATATATATACATATATGTATTTGAGTTTTCACGGATTCGTATTACATCGAGCTATTTTGCGGGGCTCACCACTCGCGACACGTAGGTGCTCACCCGACAGTCCTTCGTCGTAGTCACTCATACACGTTTGCGATTTTTCCTCGCCCGCACGGTCCGCAGTCTCTCGCGACCTGCTCTCTATATCGCCGTTTTTTCAGCTTCGCCGGTTCCGTGTGTCCTCTTCCTCGACCAATTTGGAACTGCCCCTCTACGTGGCTTTAGCGCCTCTAATTCCCCTTTCTACGTTAGAATCTAGGTCTTAAACGCTAGATGCCGCCTAATTTACGCTTCTGTAGCTTACACATTCTTAAGTTTTATTGTTCGTACACTAGGCATCACTGATGCCTTACCATATACGTGGGTAGGCTGAAAAGTAATACACACATGCTTGTAGAACACGAACAAAAACAAATTGTGAGATCGAGCAAAAAGTACATTGAAGTACAATTCTTAAGCTTCAAAATCATATATTTATTTTTCAACATAGTCACCGTTAAGGCTAACACATTTCTCCCAACGTGTAACAAGTTTTTCCATTCCGTCACTGAAAAATTCTTCCAACTTTTCTCGCAACCAGGACTTGACAGCTGCCTTCACCTCATCGCCCGAGGTGTACTGATTACCCTTGAGGTCTCTCTTGAGTAGAGGAAAAAAATAAAAATCACAAGGCGCAAGATCGGGGGAGTAAGGAGGGTGTGGAATCTGTTCAAACTTCAGACATGTCTCCAAACGCAGAGCCTCTGCAGTTGCGCGCGAGGTGTGTGGACGAGCGTTGTCATGTTGCAAGACGGTAAATTCTTCTCAGTACATACAGACTCTAAAACACCTCCGACGCCGAGTTTGTCGTGTTAGAGGCAGCCTGGAGCCAATAATCTTGCGAAACCTGCTTTCCAGTTTGTGGAAACAAAAATGACCGAACTGGATAGCGTACATTCCGCATGCAACCAAGCGCTTTTCCAATCGGTCGCAGACGAGGCCGAGATTGACAAGGAACTACAATCGAACGATTCGTATAAGAAACAATATCTGATGGCGAAGATGAGAGTAACGTCGGGGACGCCGACAACATCGGAAGGAACGACGAGAACCATCTCGACGAACGTTACCAAGACTTCGAAGCTTCCCGAATTAGAATTACCGAAATTCAGCGGTAATATCAAGGAATGGCTGCCCTTTTGGAGCCAATTCAAGAAGATAAACGACGATCCGACGATCAGTAAGTGTTCGAGATCGCCTCGAACTAAATATTATACACCGTCTCCGAGCAAACGAGAATCTCGATGTTTGTCCGATCGGCTGATGGCTCTATTGTCCGTACACCTTGAGAGCGTCTTATCCAAATATTCGCTTCGCTTCTCTATTGCTGTCGTCTACCTAAGTGAGACAGAAGCATTTGAGGAATAGCGAGTCAGTTTCTTCGAAAACAGCTGATTGCCCGCTAACGCTGTGCGAACGCCGACTGTTTGTCTCTCGAGGCGTACGGACGATCGGTTTCATTTGAAATTATTTGTACTGCTTTTATTTTTCGACTCTCAAGTTCGAGAGATCAGGGAAGAGAGGGACGGTATAAAACCCCGGTCCGGCGAGCCCGCCGCTCTCTCGTTCTTGTGAGTCTTGATTAGAAATCTGTACTTCTGGCGACAAGCGCCTTCGAGGATTGAGTGACGATCTCAAAGTAATCATCCGAACGGTGTTTGTCGCGTCGCGCGGGATAGTGTTATTAGTCGCTCTTTACGCGCTCTTTGCCTTTCGCTCGCGTCGCGGTTTTTTTTCGGATTTCTTCCGCGATCTGCGTGCGCGATACTTTCCGCGTATTTCATACGCGATACGCCTAACTGGGCATAAACGGCCTCGCTCGCCTGAAAATTGTCGGGTGTACTCTCGCTTTGTGAATGGCAAGTACAATTAAACGTTTGAGAGTCAATTGCATATGAGAGTAAACCATTGCTCGCTCCTTCCATCCTTTGCAATCCCATACAGTAAGGAAGACAAGATACAATATCTACAGCAAGCAATGGTGGTGGACTCGCGCGCGAGCGAGATCGTGAGAAGCTTCCCGCCTACTGGAGAAAATTACGAGAAGGCAATCACGAGCTTGAAGAATCGTTTCGGACGAGACGATATTATAGTTGAGTTTTACGTTCGTGAGTTGCTGGGGCTCGTACTACAGAATGCCGCGAGAGGGAATAAGAAACCCTCCCTCGCGAGCATATACGACAAAGTCGAGTGCTACATTCGTGCTTTAGAAACACTGGGTGTGACGACAGATAGGTGCGCCGCCATGCTTTATCCGCTTGTGGAATCGTCTCTTCCGGAAGAGGTCCTTCGAGCCTGGCAACGCAGTGGAGGACAGCGGAAAACAAGAGAAGAACACGCGACTACGGATCGACTGTCGCGACTGTCGAAGCTTCTCGAATTCCTACAATTGGAAGTGGAAAATGAAGAGCGCATCGACTTCGCGTTAACAGGTTTTGGATTACCGACGGAACAGGGGAAGATATCGAAGAATCCGAAGGGTAAAACAGAATCGTCAACGGAAACAGCCAGCGCGAGCGTTCTTTTTGTATCAAAAGAAAAGAAGCCGGATTGCATTTTCTGTAAGTCGAGCCACGAGAGTCAGGGTTGTGAATCCGCGCGTAAGTTAACGTTAGATGACCGTAAGGAAATTGTTAAGAGAGAGGGCTGCTGCTTTAGCTGTTTGAAACGCGGACATGTCTCACAGAAATGTAGGGTTAAAACGAAATGTGATTGGTGCTCGAAACGACACGCTCTGTTGATGTGCCCGGATATATTTCGGAAGGAGAGCGGGTCTGTAAATAAACCGAACAAGGACGAGAAGACAGCCGACGAACATAACCTAGCGTCGTTCTGCGAGACTAGGGCTGTCATCTGTAATTTTACTGGCCTAGGACAGAACCCCGGATTTTTCCGTCTGAAACCCGGACACCCGTAATTCATAATATTAAATTATTGCAACTGCTGATAAAACGAAAAAACAGAATCTTTTATTAATTATTTATTATTACAATGATGAGTATTTTACATAAACGACCTACACTGGCCAATGCCTTTATTTATTATAAAAACTACGTTTCGGTCCTGGATTTGGACCCTTTTCAAGTGATCTGTTACTTAATTATCCCTGATCTCGTATCGTTCGTTTGGCCAATATCTCTATGTTAGTAGAGTATTAGTCAAAAGAATAAGAGGGAGAAATTTTGATTGCACTCTTTAGTTGGAGAGTGCAAAGTCAATTGAAGTTGCATTGTTAACTGATGATAGTTCAATCTGTTACCTCGTCCAACACACATCTCATGGACATTTTTACTTGTGTTTCAACAGTTAACAATGCAACTTCA